CAGGGCAGGAGTCAGGTACTTTTTTAAAGTGATACAAGATGGAAAATGAGGATTGCTCCAGCCCAGATATGGCAGCAATACACCATTTTTGGTCTGATCTGACTCTTGTAAAGATAGAGCATGACATAAGGTGTAAGGTACTTTTTAAAGTGATACAAGCTGGAAAGTGAGGATCAGGTAGGCCAGATTTAAATTTTTGGTCTGATGACTTGTAAAGATGGCAAAGGAGTCAGGTATTGAGGATTGGGCAGCTCCAGCCCAGATATGGCAGCTCCAGGATTGGGCAGCTCCAGCCCAGATATGGTAGCAATACACCATTTTGGTCTGATCAGGACTTTTTTGATAAAGAAAATGAGGATTGGGCATGACATAAGGCAGTACACCATTTTAGGTCTTTTTAAAGGTCTGAGTAGTAAAGATAGAGACAAGTGAGTCAGTATTTTTTAAAGTGAAAGTTTGAAAGTGAGGATTGGGCAGCTCCAGCCCAGATATGGCAGCAATACACCATTTTTGGTCTGATCTGACTCTTGTAAAGATAGAGCAGGGCATAAGGAGTCAGGTACTTTTATAGTGATACAAGCTGGAAAGTGAGGATTGGGTCAGCCAGATATGGTAGCAATACACCATTTTCGGTCTGATCTGACTCTTGTAAAGACAAGCAGGGCATAAGGAGTCAGGATTTTTTAAAGTGGTTTGAAAGTGAGGCTTGGGCAGCTCCAGCCCAGATATGGTAGCAATACACCATTTTTGGTCTGATCTGACCCTTGTAAAGATAGAGCAAAGATAGAGCTTTTTAAAGGATACAAGCTGAAATAGGATTGGGCAGCTCCAGCCCAGATATACTTTTTAAAGTAAAGATAGAGCAGGGCACAAGGAGTCAGGTACTTTTTTGAAAGTGAGGATTGGGGCATCTCCATCCCAGATATGGCAGCAGCAATGCCAGTTTTGGTCCAGATATGGATAGCATGGTGTAAATTACACTTTTTAAAGTTTTTGGTCTGATCTGACAGATATGGCAGTAAGCCCATTAGGCCATTTTGGTAAAGATTGAGAGCAGGTCATCCTTAAAAGGAGGATTAGGCAGGAAGCATTTAACAGAGAATGGAAAATGCAACACTGCAATCTAAAGGTGTATTTGGCCTCCAAAAATGCAACAATAGAGAATTGTGAGAAACAAATAAAGTGTACTGAACCTTTATATAATATCACTCATCCTATATGATATTTAATGCAAGACAGATTATGGAAAGACTTGAAGCAACAGAAATGTGGTCCTACAAAAGAATGCTGAGAATACCATGAAGTGGACATATGAGCAAGAATAGTTTCAAGGTTTGCTTGGTCAGATCTGTAAGATTTTCTACTAAGACAGGGGTAAATAGTTATGTCATCTGCATAAATAACTAGTTGAGAACTGATGACATTGTGCATGATATTCCTGAAGATCAGAAACAGCATACGTCCCAGAATAGAGCACTGGGGCTGCTGTGTTCATATGAAAAGATCTAGAAGTGAGCCTGTTCAACACAAACTTTATTTGATGATTTGTTTGGAAAGATCAGATTAAACAAAATATTCGTCCTGTGACATAGTAGGCCTGGTACTTGCATAGAAGGCCAGCACTGTTGAATGCTTTCAAGATATCTTGGACCACAGCCCAAGCATTGCCATTCTTATCTAGAGCTTGATAGATAAATTCAGTGATGGGTGTAACACTTTATGGTAGACCTGGCAAATCAGAAGCCATATTGTTTGTCCAAAAAGAGGTTGTCTGATGTATGATGCTTAACCATTCTGGCTTTGATAAGAGCTTTGAATACTTTGCCGAGAAGCAGTAAGAGATTAATAGTGTGATAATTTGAGAGGTCAGAATGTTATCCAGAGTTTTTAAAAAACAGAAACTACAGAGGAGGATTTCTAACAAGCTGGAAAGCAGGAAGTAGCAAGGCAATTTTTGTGAAGTTTAGAGAGAAGAGGAGCCAGTTCAAGAGTGCATTTCTTTAGGAAAATGGCTGGGATCTCATCACGCCTTGTAGGGATCTAATTTAGAAATGATGTCTAAAACCAGAGCCTATGCATATATAACCCAGTAGAGCCTCCATTCTGGTGTGAAAATCTGGCAGGGGTACTCCAGGTGAGTTGCAAGTGGAGTTGGAAGTGAACATCCAAGCAAATCACTTTACCCTATCTGAAGTAAATGTCAGTACTTCAAGTTTTTTTGAAGAAAGGAGGGATTAAGGATCTGTTATTGTTCAAGACATTCTTTCCGAGCCACAGTAATCTCTAGAATCAAACTTTTGAGAGGCTATACAGGGTTTCATTTTATCAGCAAATAGTGACTTCACTTCTTTAAAGACTTGCTTGCACTTATGAGACGCCTTACAATCAGGATTATCACTCTGGTATATCCGAAAGAAGTGATTCCTATAGGCTCCATGTGAATAAGTGTTTACTTGTTGAATACGAATAAGATGTCATATGGGGGTAGGGGCTTCAGGATTTTAGAGATGTTCAGGTGGGATAGGCCCCAAAAAGGTTGCAAACCACTGCTATAGGGTCACTACACATCTGGGCATATGATCAGCTCCCTACATATGTCTTGGTTGCATGCCGATATTAGAGTCTCTGTGAAAAATATTTCATTTTTTTTTTCCTCTGTCTGCCTTTCATCTTTTCAGTGGTACTTTGTAGGATTACATTAGAGAGATTGCTGGCTATTATGACTTGGCATTACCATTTCAACTTTCTAGGTCTGTTACTTGTTTCTGTTGTCTCACATGTGTGACATTTGTGATGCAGTCTGTGTAGGATGCTTCTGTAGCATTCTCATTTCTAATGCATGAACTCTTCGCTGTAATTCTGCTATTAACCACTAAGATTTGCAAATGTATAGAAATATTGAGAAGGCCAATGCTTGCAACAATCTGATCTTTGATCTTCAGGTATAATGTTCTTATCTTTCCAGTCTTGCAATAGCTGCCACTATTTATGCACTCTTGAAATTATTTTCAGTCTGGAGACATCATTGCTAATATTGAAGCTAAGCTTTTGAAATGTTTGTGACTACATGACTTTTATCACACTTGAAAATATAGTTCATCATTTATTACAGTCTATTGTTATAATTCTTATATTTTTATTATTAGTTGTTATTTTCTTATTATGTCTAATATGATCTCCAGTAAGAACACGTGTTTTCTGTTATATGACATTATTACAGTATATTTTAATTGTGCTATTTTATTATTAGTTGTTAGTTGCTTATTGCAACTAATTTAAATTGATTAACCACTTCATTCAACAGTTTGACACTCATGGGAGTTTTTTTTTTATTTTTATTTTAATCATTTCATCCCAAGCAAATTGATAATGCCACTAAATGAACAGGATTCAGTAAGAGATGCTTAGGTAGGTCATGGTAAAAAAAAAAGAAAGGGTTGGGAACTCTTGCTGTAGGGCCCCTGCACATCTGAGCACATGACCAGCTCCCTATATATATTTTCGTTGTTTGCCAATATCTGAATCTCCATAAAAAATAATTCATTTTTTTTCCTCTGTCTGCTTCTTCTTCTTTTAGGTGGTATCTTGTAGGATGACAAGGACAGAGCCCTTTTTTGGTCAGGCCCCACAGAAAGAGATTCTTAGGTGGGACATGGCCAAAAATAGCTTCATTAAAAAACACTGACTTTTGATTTAAATTTGCTTTAAGTTTTAAGACTTCTATTTATGATTTGATTCGGCAAACTTTTGAAGTCAGCCCTGTTGTGCATAACAGGTAAAGAAAAATCAGACAAGAAAAATCATACAAGAATTCAGACAATCATTACTGAAAGAATAGGGCAGTGGCTGTGTTTGTATGTGTGTTATTATTTTTTGTAAAAACTAGAAAATGTTTGTTTAAAATATTTAGGTATTTATTATCGTGCTTGGAAGATAGAATTTTTTTTCAGTTTATTTATTTGTGAGAAGAGAAAGAAATAATATTTATTTGTGAAATATTTTTATCTCAAGAATTATATAAACCTGTTAGATTATATTATGCAAGTTAGTATTTTTCAAAATAAAATTGATATTAACCAAACAATGTTGATAAAATTTAGCTGTTTCAATTTTTTATAGTAGGTAATGAATTTAACTTTCTTGTTCTGGTCAATTGGTGCTGATGGATTGTCAAAGGAATAATTTTCCACTAGGCATCATTACTATTTTAAATACCTTCACGTCTTGGCAAGGTTTATTGTTTTAAAAATTGATTAGAATTTAAAAAAAAAAACTAAACATATGATGAAAGTGAGTTTGTTATTCTTGAGAATTTGCAACAAAAATAACAAATAAATGTGAAATATTTTTATCTCAAGAATTACATAAACCTGTTAGATTATATTATGCAATTTAGTATTTTCACAATAAAATTGATATTAACCAACCAATTTTGATAAAATTTAGCTGTTTCAATTTTTTATAGTAGGAAATGAATTTAACTTGTTCTGGTCAATTGGTGCTGCAAAGTCATGAAGAACTTTACCAAATAACAGAAACCATATTATTTAAAAACTTTCAATAGCAAAAACAACAAAATGCATATCAGTTTAACTCAAAGAGAAATAATGGTATAATCAACTATCTACATAACCAAAGATAAATATTTTGGTTGGAAACTCCTATAGTATTAGAAAAACAAAAACTATAATATTTAATGGACTTGAGAAGTTTAACTACCTGAAAACTTGTTTAAAGAAAAAGATTTAACAAAGTTGAACTTTTGTGCCCACAAAAAAAAATGGATTGTCAAAGGAATAATTTTCCACGAGGCATCACAACTATTTTAAATACCTTCACGTCTTGCCAAGGTTTATTGTTTTAAAAAGTGATCAGAATTTTAAAAAAAAACTAAACATATGATGAAAGTGAGTTTGTTATTCTTGAGAATTTGCAACAAAAATAAAAATATTGTTTATTTACAAGAATAATTTTTTTACAACATTCTAAAAAATAAATACAGTTAAATAATCCAATTTCATAGATAGATAGATAGATAGAAAGATAGATAGATATGAACAGACTGAGATAGATAGATAGATAGAAAGATAGATAGATATGAACAGACTGAGATAGATAGATAGATAGATATGAACAGACTGAGATAGATAGATAGATAGATAGATAGATAGATAGATAGATCATTTTCTAATTGATAAAGAAATATATATGAAAACAGTTTTTATTTACAAATTTATAAACATTTACTAAATTATTAAAATATATGAACTAACTCTAAGGAAGACCTTATTATTTACCATTTTATAAAGATTGAATCAATTGGCAATCATCTGATGTTTTGTCAACCTTTCCAATAAACAATCTAATAGTGTTTATTATTTTTCTTGGAAAACAGTACTTTTGAAACTTTTTTTGGTGGGCAGGAAGGTCCAAGTTTGCCAAAGATTTTATAAATTTCAACTAGTAGTAAAAGTAAATGTTTGGTCAATGAATGCCAAATGTTTCTTTTATGGAAACAGCTAATCCCACATTTGCCATAGACAGAATTTTTTTTCTGCTAGTATAAAACAATCAGAAAGAGACAATTGCTGTTTCTGTTACACATACAATAACAATTTCAACTGAATAGTGAAATGTAATGAAATGATCTGGAAGCATGCCCATTCATTAGAACTTTCATTACACAATTAGTTAGGAATAGATTAAACCAAGTATTAGTCCTGTGACACTGTAACTCTTGAGTTTCCTTAGAAGGCCACCATGCCAAATCCTGTCAAACATGTTTGAGATATCTAGAGCCAAAGCCTGAACTTCCCCATTCTTATCTAAAGCTTGATATACAAATTAGTGATAACTGTTAACATGTCAGTAGTAGACCTGGTGAAGCAGAAACCATACTGTTTGTCTGAAAGGAGGTCTTGTGAAATAACATGTGTAGAAACACATTTTGTTGGCTGGTGTCTTCTCATCTGTGAGAAGATTGTCTATCATTCATTGCCATATAGGAGAATTCATATTATATAGCAGATTAGAACTCTTTTGTTTGTTTCTAAGGATAGAGGATAGAGGGCGTGGAGAATGTAATACACACAGGATATATTGAAAGCAATAAAATCAGAGTCAAACAGCAAATAAACTACTTAATTTGTTTGTGTGAATGGAGAACAGGATAGAGACAAAAAGGATGGAGTACTGTTGCCATATTGCTGCTCAGTCCTCACATTCCAGTCTCAGTAGAGTCCAAGAGTGTCTCTGAGTAATTGTGGATGAAAAATTTTCCACCCTCCAACCACTCTATCACAGACAAGATGTAATGAGCCTCTGACTGCTTTATTGCTACTTCTATGGAAAGTGCTTGGATGAACTGCATTCCTTGGTTCTGCCAAACTTTCACAGCTAGGATCCACTATGCCACCCATATTGTAGTAAACCACCCTCATTCCTTTCATATTCCATTGGTGAGAAGTAAGTTTCACTCAAATATCTTTTTCCCCCACGAACCATTGTTCTGTGGAACTGTTTCCCAAGAAGATGTTTCCGCAATCACTTAACCTGTTCAACTCTAGGGTTGACTGCTGTCTTCCCTCCTATCCACGTAAACTGCCTCTTACTTTTCAACCCTCTACCTCGAGTGGCTTCTGGGCCTTGTACACGTGAACATCACTGTAAAAAAAGCAAAAAAAAAATTTCAAATAAAAGGTGAGCAATGAAACCCCCATCAATACTGGAAAGGGTGATAACAGCTACTGGATTTACATATTACTTTGAGCAAAAAAAACAGCCGTCCTGTGTTTGGCGATAAACTACATCTGCATCCTGGGTAAGATGATAAACTACATCTGACAGCAAGGCTTTTGATCAGGAGGTTTTGAAGAATGTGGAACCACCACTTAACTGCTGGATTTCCCAGGTTCACCCTGACCTGGGTTGGTAGCACTTGTCAGGGTCCCAGCTATGGGCAAATAGTTAGCCCCTCAAAAGGGGTCAAAACATTATGAAGGCATAAAAATAGGTTTTAATACCAGCAATACTTTTTTGAGAAAATTATTACCAGCAGTACATTTTTGAAAAAGAAAAATATTACCAGCAGTACATTTTTGAAAAGAAAATATTTCAAGCAATACATTTTTGGAAAAAAACTATTACCAGCAACAGATTTGAAAAAATATTACCAACAATACATTTTTGGGAAAAAAAAATATTTCCAGCAATAAAACTCTTGTTGGCACTAAATGTACCGTTGAGGTTGATATGCCGTAAACCAAACCAAACCAAACAAAACAGGAAGTCGTGGAGAGTCATGATTGGCCAAATCTTGAATGGCATATCAAAGAAAAGTGAAGCAAAAATGGTATCAGACAAAACATAACAACAGTTATTTCATTATGTTTTTTAATTTTAATATCATTTCTTTTCTCTTTTGAAGAATTCCTTACCATGTACCTCTTAAGCAACAAAGGTAATCCCCATTTGTCTGACTCATGCATCTCTCTCCCTATATATATATATATATATATATATATATATATATATATATATATGATCTGTAAAACCAGATTTTCCATTTTACTTTCAGGTATGATTTTTCTATGTTCTTATATTTTCTTCCATTAGAAACAAACAAAAGAGTTCTAATCTGCTATATAATATGAATTCTCCTATATGGCAATGAATGATAGACAATCTCCTCACAGATGAGAAGACACCAGCCAACAAAAATGTGTTTCTACACATGTTATTTCACAAGACCTCCTTTCAGACAAACAGTATGGTTTCTGCTTCACCAGATCTACCACTGACGTGTTAACAGTCATCACTAATTTGTATATCAAGCTTTAGATAAGAATGGTGTAGTTCAGGCTTTGTCTCAAAATATCTCAAACATGTTTAACAGGATTTGGCATGCTGGCCTTCTAAGGAAACTCAAGAGTTACAGTGTCACAGGACTAATATTTGGTTTAATCTATTCCCAATAAATTGTGTAATGAAAGTTCTAGTGAATGGGCATGCTTCAAGATCATTTCATACTAACACAGTGGTCCCTCTGGTCTCTACCCTTGGATAGTGATTTTCAAAGCATAGCTTAGATGTGGCACAAGGCCAAAAGTGTGGGGTACCCAGTAAGGATCAAACTCACTATTCAGTCATAATTGATCTAGCAAAATGAGCTTTCTAAGCATTACTCCATGTTGCGGCTCCTTAATGATTTTCTTAGCATAGCTTAGATGTGGCACAAGGCCAAAAGTGTGGGGTACCCAGTAAGGATCAAACTCACTATTCAGTTGTAATTGATCTAGTAAAACAAGCTTTCTAATCATTACACCACATCGAGGCTCCCTAATTATTTTACAATTGTAGCTTAGATGTGGCACAAGGCTGAAAGTTTGGGGTACTCAGTAAGGATCACTCTCACTATTCAGTCGTATTTGAGCTAGCAAAACCAGCTTTCTAAGCATTACACCACGTCAAGGCTCCCTAATGATTTTCTAAGCATAGCATAGATGTGGCACAAGGCCAAAAGTTTGGGGTACCCAGTGAGAATCAAACTCACTGTTCAGTCATAATTGATCTAGAAAGATAAGCTTGCTAACCATTACACTACACTGAGGGACCCCTCTACCTTTTGATATGCTATTTATAAGTTCCCAACTAGGTATTTAGGCAGATGACGCAACCATTTATTCCAGTCTCAGTAGCATATCAAAGTAAACCCGGCAACTGCTCTTGAAAAAGGCCTCCAGTCAGTGGTTAACTGGGGCAAGACATAACTTGTAAATTTGAATGCCTCCAAAACAAAACTGCTTTCATCTAATCATCACAGAGAACCTTTTCTGCCTGCCATCAGAATAGCTGATGCTAAAGTTGTGCCTTCTTGGCCTCACATTATCCACTGACATGAAGTGGAGTAACTATATTGGATGAATTACTTCATCTACTGCAAGGAAAGTTGGTTAACTCTGTTGTGCTGGAAAAATCTTTCTTGTTCAAATTCATTTTGCACATTTATAAATCTACCATTTGTTTGTGCATTGGATACTCTTGCCTTATCTAGTTTGTTGCTCCTGCTGTACATATTGAGATTTTTGACAAAATCCAAAGAATGTAATCGATCCTAAACCAGTCACTTTCTCACTGATGTGACATGGCTTCCCTCTGTTTTTTCTACAAATATTTTCATGGCAACTGCTCTGATGAGCTTTTTTTCCCTGGTGTCCCAAGTACACGAATTTAAGTGTGCTACTAGATTGGTAACTAAGTCTTGTTCTTTTAGTGTTGAACTAGCTAGATGCAACCACCACTTCTACTTGAACAGTTTCTTTTCGTACCCCCCACCTGTGGAATTACCCTTCAATTTCTTGCTTTCCTGATAACTAAAATCTTCAAACATTTAAATGCAGTGACAGTTGTCACCTTCTGTCTTCTTAACCCCTGTTCCCCTTTTGTCCTTTCCTCAATCCTCACCTCATTGTCAATCTTCTCATTCTCTTTCACTTCCTCACCCTGTACCCAGCACCCTACATTCTAGTGGCATGATCAACTTGCTTGCGGTGAAACGATAAAAAAAAAGTATTCTGTGAAATGTGAAAAAAGGGAAGCAAAAAGAAAACTTATATAGAGAATCAGAAAGAGACAGATTGAATTACTGAAACACATAATTAGGAAAGACGGCTTGGAGAATTTGACACACAAAGGATATATTGAAAGCAAAAGGGGAGAGAGAAACGTTGAGTAACCTAAACATGTTTGTGTAAATGGATGGCAGAACAGCATCTCGGAGATATAGTAAAATGTCAAACATTGCTAAGAGCTACAGAGGATAAGAAGTTGTGGAGAGTCATGATCGCCTACATCCTAATGAGACAGGCTGCATAAAAGAAGAAAGTTTGACATTAAGTAGACAGCTGTTTTTTTATGTTATTTTTGCATGGAGATTATATATAATATGTGTGTGTGTGTGTATATCTGATGCGATGAGAACGAAAGTAATATATAAATTCCAACATTCACAGCATTAATCCAAAAGAGGGCTTGATACTGATAGTAGAATGATAATTATTCCTTTATTATAATTTTATCATATCGACAAAACCATTTTACTCACTACAATGATGCAACTTGGTTTCAGTGCATTTCAACTGCACTTCGACGGGTGAGTTGCATCTTTGTAGTGAGTAAAATGGTTT